AATTTTAGGTTCGCCTTGTAACAGGTGTTGGTCGTTTTACAGAAATGAACTATATATTTCATATATTAAAAGAAAATTATCACTTTGAACTTTTACTCGGAAAAGGATTAAACAAGGTTTGCTTTTGCTCCTCTTATTTCAACAAAATATGTATAAATGTTATATATAGCATAATATGGAATGTGTTGTAGGTAACTGGTCTAAAAACAGCTCTTTTGGAATTCCTGAAACGTCATTGCCCTGAAGATAAAGACCTGTTTACTCTAGTAGCATTACATTTCCAACTGTATCATGAAATTGCACTTATGTGGGAAAATGAAGCAAAAACTGTAATCGAAACATTGATATTGGATGCAATAAAAGATCATGATAAATTACAAAATGCTATTCAACATGATATAAAATTCATAAGAACCGAAAACGTTCAAAAACAGTTACAATTGACTATAACTAATTATTGTCATGCAGCAGAACACTATTTAAAGGTAAATTACCATAAACTATCTTTATAAAAACTTATTTTTCATGTCAATACATTTACAGGCTAACAAATTAAATCTTGCTATTCAATGCTCCAATCAAGCACAGTTAATTGCTCTTCAACTTACACTTCTTAATGCAGTACCTTCTGATCAGCAAGTAATCTGTATACTTAATTTAAAATCAGAAGATATTGATAAAGTATTATATCATAGTAACTTAAACTTTTCTCAAATACTTCTTGTTATACATGCTTATAATCACCATGTAGATTGGGCTAATCTGATTTATAATCGTTGTATATTGAATGGAGAAACAAAATATTTAAAAGATTTTATAGTTGTAAATAAAGTAACTCCTGGTCTTGTAAAGGATTGTGTATGCAGGCAAGTAAACTACTATCTAAAAAAATCAATTTATTTTCTCGCAATTTTAATTATTATTAATACATTATAGGTACAGATTGGAAAAAAATATTACTCATACTATGACAGACAACATGAAAATATTAATTTCCGAGTTATCAGACGTGGAATGTAAATATGTATTAGCCAGTCAGTTGGGATTTAAAACCATTGTTGAAACAATGCTCAATGATCCTATGATAGATGCATACCTCAAAGATACTGTATGGAAAAAGGGATATAATGCTACCTAAATATTTTACCTTCTCAAGGTCATACTATTCGTATAAACATAAAAAAGAATTGTAACATCTAAAGTATATGTACCCTTTTATTCTCCTTTTTATATGAATAAATATTATTTTGTAACCTGTATCATCAATAAGTTTGTTTATTCAACTTCTTTAAAATATAGATGTAAATTTGTATTCATGTACTTAGAAACAAAAGAATGTATTTCTTGAGTTTCATATTTCTGTATCAAATAATGTGTAACTTGGAATGTTAATGATGCATGAAAATATGTGTTACAAGAAAATTGCGTGTCATGATGAATCCGAAAAGGCAGCTGTTTTTAAATTAGATGCATATATAAAAAAATATGAAAAGAAATTCGGGAAAATATCATCATTAAAAGTTCTGTCACAAAAACAATTAAAATTATTAAAACTCATACATAAATTAATGCAAACTATTAATAGAGAGGAAATTGACAAGCAACAAGGTACAATTTTATAGTTTTTTTTAATTGTATCCCTAAATTTTATAATTATTTTATCATTTAATAGCATTGCAATTTCTACAAGCATCTAATAAGACAATAAAAGAAACGATTTCTACATTTCAAGATTCAATGAAAATATATAAAGAAAGTATGAGATTCGAATTTGCAAAACTCGATTGTTTAAGCACAAATCGACTTTTAAGTATTAATTATACGTGTACGTAATTAAGTAATAAAATATCAGAAGTACTTTGTAAATCTTTTGCTTTCATCATCGATGTATTAAAATTTTCTACTTAAATAAGACATTGAAACAACATAAATAATTACAATTTATAAATAATTAAACTATTAACATGACATTAGCATTTTATGCATGTCTGCGAATTATTTTTAAACTATAAAATAATCTGCATTATGTTTAATTTCAATAATATTAAAAGAGGAACAATACCTCAACTTTAAATAGATTATGTTGAAAATATATATCTATTTTTTACTTACATTGTAAGAATCTTTCTAAGAATTATACATATATACATCAATATAAAAAATGCTATTTATTTATGTTTTATTCCATTGAAATTTTACTTATATCTTCGTTTGGTGGACGTTTAATGGAATTTACATCTTTATCAACTATATCAACCTTTCTCTTTACATTTACAGATTGTAATATTGAATTGTTAATTTCCCTTTGCAGACTTTCAGCCACATGAAAATCGCAATGTTCCAGATATTTTGATATGGGTATCATTTGATAACATTGTAGACATTGCTTAGAAGGTATTTCAGTAAAGTAAGACGAATTTCTTTTTATTAGAAAACTTGAAATATCATTATTTTTCTTTCTTTTGGAAGTATTTGTCTTAGATTTACCTTTTCCCTTTGAAATTTTTACTGAAATTTTTTTCGTATTGTTCTTTTTATTTTGTGCACTCATATATGATTTTGCTTGTTCTTGTAAATCTGAGGGTAACAATGCAACTACAGTGGGATCTATGTTATTCAAATCAGGAAATATTTCTTCTAGTTTTATAATCTTCTGCATACTTGTTGCTTTATTACTTTTATCTAATTTCACATTTGCTGAACTTGACTCTTTTCCATTCTTATTATCCATACATTTTTTATAGTTATATTCCCTTGAATTTACATCCAATTCCCCATCAGAATTATCTTCTTCATCTTTTTTTATGTTATTTTCATTCAAGTTTTCGCATTCAATATACATATTTCTATTGTTATTTAATTCAATTAATTCAGTATTATATGTATGAGTATCTTTTAACTTGCTCTCTTTTGAATTAAAAGCAGTCATAAAAAATGATTCCTTGAAATCATTTTGATCTAAGGAGTTATTCAAGTTAGAACTACTTGCTTTCTTTTCATATAATACTTTTTTCTTATTTCTTTCATTCAGTGAGTTAATTAAATTATTTAATCTTGTAGAAGTAGGCGACCACTCGGTTTGTGTGTTGAGAATTTCTTCATTTAATTGCACACTGAATTTACTAGAATTTTGTATGTCTTTTAGTTTATTCCTTGCTACATTTACTTCATCGTTATTAGAATCTATATTAGTAATTTTATTTAGGTTTAAATTATTTGTTATTGCTTCTGTAGCATTATTCACTGAATGTGTAATTTCTGTTTGCACATTTATTTCCTGGTGATATTCTAGCTTACTTGATTTAAAAAAATTTCTAAAGTTTTTACTACCTTTAGCTGGTATAAATTTACCAGCTGATATACCTAAATATGCAATTGGATGCTGAGTTGACTTAGATACAATTTCTACACACCGGGTTGCCATCTTTTCTGGTTTGTATGAATTTAAAATATATGAACGTGATTGAGACACAGTAGTCTTGTTTTGATAATAATGATAACATATTGTAACTAATGTCGCGCGTCGTTCATTTTCTGCAAGGTCTTGTTCAAGACGTTCACAAACTTCCGCCGATAATTCACCGGCCCAATGTTGTAACTGTAAATAACACAATATATTTTATGCATATATACATTTCATAATTTTCATTTATATAAACTTTACAGTCTATTTTACCAAATCTAATGAAGTAATAGCTTGTTTTCCTGGAAACTTTTTGCATGCTCCAATAGATTTTGACACAAGTCGTGTAGTGACAGGTTCATTGTCTATACCTCGAGCAATATTATGCAGCCATAATCTAAATAAATATATTGACATAAAATTTATTTAAGAATTGCATGAAAATTATTACTTTCCAGAGTAATTTTTTTAACAAACGATTATTTTCTATGAAATACGAAATTGCAAATTTATAAACATACCCAGTTTTGTCATCAAAACGTTTTTGCAAATATTGCAGTGAGTACTGCAATAAGTCACCCATAACATTACAATTCAGAGATTCAATAACAATGTCACCAAACTTCCCACCAAGATTTCTGACCTTTTTAATAGGTAATGTTGAATAAAGTGATGACACTGCAGTTGCAGGTAATATTGTTTGTTGATTTGGTTTATGCAATCCACATGCTAATTTAGCTAATATCTAAATATATAGAATATTAACATACTTTTTCTAATTAATTAAGCCTAACATTAACACTCACATCCTTTCTATTCAATATATGAAAAAAGGTTATATATTGTTTTACCTTATTTTGTGCAATACCAGCAGAACATTTAAATCCTGTTTTATTAAATATATCAGATCTTATTTCTTCAACTATTATTCCTGCTATTGCAAGCTTTTGAGCTTGTACATCTTCAAGTTCTTTAAAAACATTTGTGATCCAAGTTCTTGTACCTTGGCTTCTTTCTTCTAAATTCATACCATATAATTACACCATGTAATATATATATATATTTGTAATCAAACAAATTTGTATGTTGTTTCTCACCTTCATTATTTTTTCCAACTTCTGTATATCCTACTACAAATGTATGTGAAAGCTTGGTCACTAAATACTCTAAAGAATTAGAATTTGTGGACATTCTTGTATTAACAATATCAGTGACATCTAAATAGGCTTCATCTACACTAGCACGTTCTATTATATTACAATGTTGTTTTATAACATCAATAACATCACGTCCAGCACTTCTATATCTGCATGAACATTCATAATTGTTTAGAATTACATATGTGTGGAATATAACAAGTATACAGTATACAGTACTCTTTGATGTACCTTGATGTATCTGCTTTTCCACGAAGACATGGTACGCTAGCTAAAATAAGATTTGGACATTTTTCTTTAGCTTCTTCACCTCTCATATGCCTTGTGACACCATATTCTCTTGCTTCATAATTAACTGCAATTATTCTGAGAAAAAGAATATTTATCAGTTTATCTATAAATTAAACATTTGTACTTACAATCTAATTATTTAATCATAATTTATTCAAAATATCTTACCCTCCTAACTGCCACTGATTATATTGAACAACAGCAAGTGGTTTTTCAGTATATTCAGGTTGAAGTTTTGTTTCAACTTGACAAAAAAAACAGTCCATGTCGATTAAAACAACAATTCTATCATTGTATGAATTTGCCATTGTAAAAATTAATTTATCTTCTCATTCAAAATTTTAAAAGTTATAGGTTAGAAATGTTTTTAATACTTGAACTATTTTTTTTATCTAACATCTGTAAATATGATAATTTTAATCAGATGTATCTGTATAAACATTATTTAAATTTTATAAAAATGATGTAGTTACACGTATAAAACTTTTACATTACAAAATAAATATAGTCAAACAAATTAGTAAATAAACGACTTTAACCGCGATTTCTCGAAGTCTCAAATTTAAACTTGTAACTAGTTTGTCGTTCCTAAACTTATATGGTTTTGTAAAAATGAGCTATAATAAGTAGTCATCCTCAATCACTGATACATATGTATACCAGTAATAGTTTATGAATAAATAGATAAAATTAGCTATTTTTTCTTATAAAAAGAAGACGTATACAACTAAAGAACATGTTACACTGTAATAAATATCACTATTTGTAAATGATAATAATAAATTGCATGTTTTAAAAATGTTTTTAGAACACGCTTCATTTAGCTTCTTATGTTGCATGTATCAAACGTTACATTTACGAACATAAAATATTTTACGAATTATTGAAAACATATATTACAGATGCCTGTCAAGTTTCGGAACACCTCAATTGCTGCAAATACAATATAAACGCGTTTTTTTGCAAAGTTTTATCCTTTGTTTTATTTATACATAACGTACGTGGTGTGAGGTACTAATAGTTTTGTGACAATGCCAAGTAAAAAGAAAAAATACAATGCACGTTTTCCAGCAGTGAGTATCAAAATACTGTGTATAGTTTAGAAAGGTTTTTCACAAAAATATTGAAACATTACATGAATTATATGATTATAATTTAAAAGAAAGCAATATTGTTATTTACTTACAATCATGTTTAAATAATAAAGAAATATAAAACTATAAAAATATAGTTATACTTGATGATTTTAAATATATATGCCTAACCTCTATTTACGAATTTACTTAGGGTCGAATAAAAAAAATTATGCAGACAGATGAAGAAGTTGGAAAAGTTGCACAAGCAGTACCCATTATAATTTATATCCTTTTCAAATTAGCGATAAAAATAATAATTTTTAGTTAGTATTCTAATATAATCTAGTTGCTTTATTGTTTATGTTATAAATCTTCAAGCAATTAGTGTTATTTTTATTTTAGAAACAAATTTCTTAACTTATTTATATACCTAGAACATTAGAACTATTTGTACATTCATTACTTACAAAAACCATGGAAATTACAAGTGCCAAAAATGCCAAAACTTTGAGTCCATCTCACATGTAAGCATAATGATTTGGAAATGATTATTTTAATAATTAATTTTAATAAATGTGTTTTAATCTATGAATTAAATTATTTATAGGAAGCAATGTATTTTATCAGAAAGTCGCTTTGACTTTCTAAAAGATTTGGTAAAATCATTACCAGATGTATCAGGACCTGATGAAGAAGTGCCTACACCACCATTAACACCTGCTCCAATAAATGCGAATGTGTCAAATACATCAATTTGCACACCTTCATTACGACATACAGAAATAGGGTAAGTATTAAGTTACTTATTTACCAATTTAAGATCTTAAATGTACTATCATATTTTTATAGAGTTCAGAAGCAGCAAATGGGATTAACTACTGAAGTAAATGTAGAACATAAAAATTCAAAAGACAATGGTGGAACAGGAATGTACAATTCTGGTGCTGTTAATGAAATGGTTAAAAATACATCTGTCCCTCAAGTTCCAGAATTTCAAATATCTGTGCCTGCATCATTTCAAATTAGTCAACCTAACTTTTATACAGAAGTTAATCCTATGAATTTAAGTACAAATACATCTAGTGTAAATACAAATAATCAGCCAACATCAAACTTTGCTCATACGGCTACTTTGGATGAAGATTATGACACATAGTTTTTTTTTCAATATTAGAAGTACAAATTTAAATTTGGAATAGTAATAGAAATGTTTGATCAAATGTCACAAATTTTTGTTCAGACTGTTCACAATTGATACATTAGAAATAATTTACATTATTTGAATAATTTTGTTACTTACATATACTTCAACAATCATAAATTTTTATATTTTTATATTTGTTCTATCAAGTTACACATTTTCTTCAAACTAGGTAAAATGAAATATTGATATTTCAAAATATTTTGTACTATTGTACTTGATTATTATGAAACATTCATATTTTAAATACTTTGATGTATACACATGTATAATAAGTGTGAATATTTGGACTCACACAATTGTTGTGTGCTTGAAAACATACGTATATTATTAATAATCTAGGTACAGTTTCTTTTCTGTTTATATATTTATGAAAGTATTTTGTACATTTACTTAGGTACAAATACATTTAATTATTAGGAGTGTAGTTAGGTTTATGTTTTGTAATTGGCGATATCTTTAAATGTACCTCATTTAGTTCATATATACTTTAGAATGTTTATCATTTCCAACATGATGTATAAAATGATGAGCTCTACAATTAAGATTTTTTTACTTGTATACACGTATATATAAAGTATGCAATTTTGATAAAAAAAAATTAGCATGTAATAAGATATTTTCTATATATTAACAATATTCAACAGAGTTGATTTAAAAAGCTGACTTTGTCAATATGTCTTTACATATTCATATATTGATATACTCATTTAAATCCATATTTTATGCTTTATAGAACACTATAACATAAACGTATGTTGTAAAATTACATGTTATATATAAATAATGCGCATATTTTGATTAAAACCGTTAAGTTTTTTAAAATTCGGTATATACGCAATGATTGGACAAAAACAGATTATTAAATTCTATAGAAACTTAAAAAAATTATAATCATGATACTATTTGATTCACACATAAACATCTTGCACTTAGTTTATGCTTTGAATAAACACATTATATAACAAAAATTTGTTACAAAGAATATATAAAGACGTGTTTCAATATGTAAATACTTAAACTAAAGTTTAATTGCATATTTTAAATTTGGGAAATATTTTCCTAATACACTAGAATAAAATAAGTGTAACCATCATTAGCAAAAAATATAGAATCTGAAAATACCGTATTTATAATAGTATATTTAGCGTATATCATATTTATAGTAATAAGTGTGAAATACACCCGTTTTTTTTTTAAAGTAGGAAAAACTAAGCGGTGGTTATGTAAAGAATATGTTAAAAAGTAATATGATGAAAAGTGCGCATATTATATATATGCTTAGAACATTAATATTTTATTTAATAGACTACTTGTAATCGTAAAATGTAATTTATTTTCATAGATAAAACATAAAAATGGTAGAAATATTATTTCATCATTGAATATTATAATTTCGGTTAAATCACATCAATCTCAATATTTAAAAAAAAATCAAAGTACATGCATTTTCATATATTCAAAAGTATATACCTAGTGAAACAAAAGTATATCTACCCAAGAATGCAAAATTTTTATTAAGGGAAAGTTTTTAATTATTCTTAGAAGAAATTTGTAAATATTATTGATTGCTATTTGACATTAATAATGCAATACTCTAATTTGGTTCCTTTAGAAGTACTTGAAATAAT